AGACATGGCTATTTCAGCAAGCGGGACTGGCCTAGGGGAAATTTTAGCTGGGTTTTAATATAATTTTAAATTAACATAGGCCTAAATATTATATCTTCTTTTAATTGTGTTTTAATTATAGTATTTTGTATTTTTGTAATTGTTTTATCTGGCTGTTAGCCGCCCTGAGTCCGTAAGGAGAAGGGCGGGATATAAATACTTTTTAAATAAAAAAAAATAAATTTTTAGTTTGTGCCATCATAATACAGAATCAATTTGGCCACTGCCTATTTTTCGATTCAGACCCCAGCATTAGAGCAATAGATCCAGTGGAGCAGAGGTGGCTACTAAAAAGGCCAGCGCGTCCTGGAAGGTAACTGCACTAAAGTGTAGAATGAGCAGGTAGCCAAGCCCACCAGTTCTAGAAACAAGCTATTACAGATGGTCCTCAACTTACAACCATTCATTTAGTGACCATTCGAAGTTACAATGGCACTGAAAAAAAGTGACTTCTGGCTATTTTTCACACTTGCAACTGTTGAAGCCTCTCTATGATCAAAATGTGGATGCTTGGCAACTGGCATGTATTTATGGCAGCTGCAGTGTCCCGGGGTCACGTGATCACCTTTTGCCAACTTCTGACAAAGTCAGTGGGGAAGCCAGATTCATTTAACAGCCGTGTTACTAACTTAACAACTGCAGTGATTCACTTAACAACTGTGGCAAGAAAGATTGTAAAATGGGACAAAACTCACTTAACTGTTTTGCTTAGCAGTGGAAAGTTAGAGCTCCATTGTGATCGTAAGTCAAGACTACCTATGTTCAATTTCCCCAGTACACATTCAACATCAACTGTCTTCAAGGAGAGCTACAGAATAATATTTAAAATGAAAGTTTTCATATTTGAAATTTTTGCCATGTAAACTGAAATCAAATTTCCCAGACAAAAAAGGAAGCTATTGCTGGGGGCAGAGATAGAGTACATTTCTCTTTTGACAGAAGCAATCATTTGGTGTAAAAAGAAGCTAAGGGAGATAACTAACCAAGATAACTAGCCAACCAACCAAGGAGAGAAGCACCTTAAAACTAAGAAATTTCCTAACAGTGAGAGCAATCAACCAGTGGAAGGGCTTGCCTTCAGAAGTTGTGGGTGCTCCATCACTGGAAGCTTTCAAAAAGAGACTGCACAGCCATTTGTCTGAATTGGTATAGGGTCTCCTGATTGAGCAGGGAATTGGAATGGAAGACCTCCAAGGTTCCTCTTAACTCTGTTATTCTATGTCCTATGTTCTATGGAACTCAGTCAGAATATACAGGTAGTCCTTGCTTACCAGCCACTTATTCAGCAGACATTTGACCATATGATGGTGCTGAAAATAGAGGCTTATAATTGGTCCTTGAAGTTGCAGCTACTTGCAGAATCCCTGCAGTCACATGATTGCAATTTGGGCATTTAGAAGCCAGCGCACATTTATGAAGGTCATAGCATTCCACAGTCATGGGATTGCCATTTGCAACCTTCACAGTCAGTTTCCAATATCCGAAGTCAATGGAGAAGCCGGCAGGAAATTGTAAATCATGGTCATGGTCATATCATACTAAATGATTCGTGGTGATTTGCTTAATGACCACAGTGCTTAACAATGGAGCTGCGGTCCTTATTGTAGTCACTGACGACAACTTATAAGTTCTTTTAAAATTCCTACACTGAGTACTTTTTCCAAAGGCGGAAGCTGTAGTATTTTGATATTATGGAGTCCAGCTCCCAAAAGACTTGGGAGTCCAATAACACAGCCAGTGTGGTGTAGAATGTAGATGTTGGACTAAGACCATGGAGACCAGGTTAAAGTCAACCCTCAATCATGGAAACTCAATGGGTGAGCTTGTTCTCTTTCCATACCAACTTAGCTTCAAGGGCTGTTCTTCTGAGGCAAATCCAACAACTATGTAAGCTTCTGAAAGCCTATATATTGCTAGAGAAACAGGGTATCTGCTGGTTAAAATGGTCAACACTTACAGGAACAGAATCCTCACCTGCCAAGCGAGCATTGACTCTGTTATGCCTTGACCAAAGCCACAGGACAGCCTGATCCCTGTTCTTCACTTCATGCATAGACTCAGCTGCCATCGCTTCAAAGTGTTCTGCACAATCCCTGCAAGCAAAAAAATTGCGGATGTATCTTCTCATTGTAGGAAGAACTTCAGGTGTACCCAAGGAAGCTGAAAATGAGACCAGGATAGAATTGTTAACACCAAAGTAAAAAAAAAAAAGTTTAAAAAAGTAACCCACAACAACTACATCTCCCTAAAGTGAACTCAAATCATGTTTCTTTCTCAAAGCAGAGCTGATTTTGGTTTACTCTAATACAGCAGCAACTGATGAAAGGGGAAGAACACCCCTGATATTTTTAAAAAGAGACAAACCTTATCAAGAAAGGTATAAAAATGAGAATCTTGTACGAGAAAAAGAAGTACAACTAAGAGTTAATTTATTTATTAAAAATAATTTATCACTCGTTAATCAAAAATCAACTTATTTCTCTTTGCTACTTTGAAGTGGCTAGGCAGTCCATATAAAAATGAAATATTTCACTGTCAGAACAAATGACCACTATATGAATGTAAATGGAAAAGTATCCAGCATGTTCATACATACACCAAATCACCATGTCACGGTTCTGATAGATGAAACCCATCAAAAGAACTTCAAGGCAAAAATTCTTCCTTAAAGAACATTTTATTCAGGAAACAAAGTATCGGCACTACATAGTTGAACTCAAAAACTAAATTCCCTTCCCCCAGATACAAAGTAAGAAAGTGCAATTCCCACCCCCAATAAGCTGTCATAAATAACATTCTCCAATTAGCCTGAAAGGCGGGCTTTCTCCCCAGCTCGCCAAAACATTATCAGTTTGCCCTTGGGTTCTCACAAAGCATTGTTGTTATTATTATGGCTAGCTGAGCTTGAGCATTTATCCCAAACCCCTTCTTCTGCACCTGATTTCTAAATACCAGAAAAAGCATGTTAAAAGCAAAGAGAAAATGGCTGCAATTTCCATCAGTTGTCAGAGCGGGAATATCCAATGTTTACAGCGTTGACACACCATTTCTGCCATTTCTTGTCTAAGTTATGTTTCTGACTTAAATGCTTCCTTCTCTCTCTTAAAGCCATAAAATTGTAATGCAATTATTTGGATGAGGTATGACAAAATAGTGCAGAACTGGTGTAGAGTAGCAGTAGCATAGTAGTTGCAATGCTGGACTTGGACCAGAGAGACTGGTTCAAAGGCCCTCTTGACCCCCAAGCTCACTGATGCTATCTGATCAGCCTGGTATCTGGCAAGAAATAGCAATAATGGTGATTTGGGGTGTGTGTGTGTGTACGGGATTTTATGGGGCAATGGTTGTAAAAAAATAGAATTGAAGAGGAACTGTCATGGTTTATGATGACTTCTCATAAGAAAAGGGAAATAGATTTTTAATCATCACAAATAATATTAAAAATGATATGAGAACATTTGTGACATTTCTATTACTTTTTGTTTTTTGTTTTAATCTGAGAGACGAATGGGCAAAAACAGAACACTGCCAATAGCAATAACACTTAGACTTATAAACCGCTTCACAGTGCTTTACAGCCCTCTCTAAGCAGTTTACAGAGTCAGCATATTGCCCCCAACAATCTGGGTCCTCATTTTACCGACCTTGGAAGGATGGAAGGCTGAGTCAGCCTTGAGCCGGTCAGGATCGAACCCCTGGCAGTCAGCAGAATTAGCTTGCAATACTGCATTCTAACCACTGCGCCACCATGGTTCAATGATTCAATGATGAACCAACTCCCAAAATGTTTTCTAAATATGTTCAAATTGTGATTGTGAGAGCCAGCATGGTATGCTCACTAAGGTTTTGGAAAAGGACCATAAAGATCCAGGTGATAATGCATCTCCACCCAGGGAAACTCACTGAGTTACCTTGGACCCCTATTACTCAGCATAAGCTTACTCTATAGAGTTGTTCTTGTGGAAGGAAAAAATAAAGGGAAGGGAGTGCAATGCACACTGGTTTGAGATCCTGGGGGGGGGGAAATCTAAGATATAAATCTGACAAAAGAATAATAAATACAATACATATAAAATCCTCTGTCTGCAAGAGATGAGGGTGAAACCATGATGAATTTAATGGACATTGCAAATATATTTCTGACTGTATTTTATGGTTAAACAAATCTCAAAATGGTAGAGTAATGTATCCAAGGACTATGGTTATGGAATCATGCCTTCTATTCTGAAGTTCAGTGTGATGAATGAGATATAGAGCTTTCATGCAGTTACTTACTAGGCTGTTTTTGACATGCTGCTTGAACAGTCAGGTGATGGAAGAGAGTCCAGAGTCCACATGAAAAACCCCGGGGTGTAGATTTGCTTCCTTGACATCCTATCCAGTGAGTTTTTTCAGGTAACGTGGCATTTGGAAACTGAAAGATAGGAGGGAGATTGGAGAAAAAAGGCTGTGCACAGAACAAAATAGCTGTCACACCTGCCTTGAACCTTAAGCAAGAATGATCCATGATCCCATTTTATGAGAAAGATATACCTTACTAAAGGTCAAGTGCAGTACAGTAGAGCAAAGCCAGATCTCAGAGTTGCACACCAAATTCCCAAGTGTAATTTCCTCCTTCCAAGATCCTTCCCTGCATTAGTCCCCACCTGTCCAGTCACGTTCAAACTAAATGATGTTGGAATGGCCATCCTTGGTATGCAGCTACATTCCTTCACAGTCCTTGAATTCATGTCTCCGGCCAGCACAGATAGATGGAACAAAAAAGCAGCTGGGAGCTGCTTAAGAGAGAGAAGATGTGATGTTCCCACCCTACTCATCTCATCCTGATTATTTTTTTTCATTTGGAACTTGGAACAACCAATCTGTTCTGAGTTAAATTTCTGCCAAACCATGGCTGACTTGGAACCATTCAATGGAAATGTACACAGTGGATTGTCCAGGGTTCAAAACAATTGTTTATGTGGTTGTTTTGTTTCATGCATTCCCCTAATGGCTTCCCATAGGTAAGGAACTCACATTTCCCTACTTCTGGGATCTCCCCTTTTTGTCCTATAGCATCTTAGGGCTGGGCCATGATCTCCCTGCCTTCCCAGGTTGTTTCCACAGGCAGCTTTCTCATTGCCTGCATACAATGGATAGTTAGGCTTTTTATTTATTTTATTATTATTTATTTATTAATTGCATTTATATCC